GTGATTTTTGAGTAAACGACCTCGAAATCGGGATTTGAAGGTTCCAACAGGTCCGTATGATGATTTTAGACTTGGGCATATGTCCGGATCGGGTTTTGGATAACCCGGGAGCGTTTCGGCGCCTATTGTGAAAGTTGGCATTTTGGAAGGATTTCGTAAATTTGGGTTGGAGTGCATTTCAATGCTATCGATGTCCGTTTGGGATTCTGAGTCTGGGAATAGCTCTGTATGGTGATTCTGGTATTAGGAGCGCGTCCGGAAGTGGATTTGGAGGTCCGTAGGTCATTTCGGGGTCATTTGGCAAAAGTTAAAAATTTGAAGGTTTTTGTAGAGTTTGAACGGGAGTACACTTTTGATATCGGGGTCGGATTCCGATTTCGGAAGTTGGAGTAGGTCCGTAATGTCAATTATGACTTGTGTGCAAAATTTGTGGTCAATCGGACGTGATTTGATAGGTTTCGACATCGAAGGTAGAAGCTTGAAGCTTGGTTCATTAGGTTTGAATTGGAAGGTGATTCATAGTTTCGATGATTTGAAGGATCGACTAAGTTCGTAATGTGTTTTGGGAAGTGTTAGTATAATTGGTTGAGGTCCCGAGGGCCTCGGGTGGATTACGGATAGTTAACGGATCAATTTTTGGACTAAAGGAACCGCACCTGCGAAGCGGCTATGAGGGGCGCATGTGCGATTTTGGTTGAGCAGTGTTGAGACCGCAGATGCGGTTACCTCGCCGCAGAAGCGAGACAGCACCTGCGGAAGGGAAGGCGCAGAAGCGGAAGCAGCGACTAGGGGGCATCTCCGCAGAAGCAGAATAATTGCCGCACCTGCGGAACTGCAGAAGCGGTCAAGTGACCGCAGGCGCGAGAAGTCGGGCTGGGCAGTGTCATTTTAAAGACTAGATTTGGCCATTTTCCTCCATTTTTCTTTTGGATGAGCGATTTTTGGAGCTCTTGGAAGGGGAATTTTAGTCATCTATGTCAAGGCAAGTGATTCCCACATATTGTGAGTTAAATACATTGTTTATATAAGGATTTAAATATAGAAATTAGTAGAAATTTGGGATTTTGGTAGAAAACCTAAAAATGGATATTTTTGGATTTATACCACAAAATTGGACATGAAATTTGGAATAAATTATATATTTGAGTTCGTGGTGTCATGGGTAAAGTTTATCTTCAAAAAGTTTCGGAATCCGGGCACATGGGCCCTAGGGTGGTTATTATCGATTTTTTGAACGGAGTTGGAAATTGTTGTAAACAGGATTATAATGAGTATTAGAGTATATATGCATGGAATTTCTCATTTATTGACTAGTTTTGGAGCGATGTGCATCGGTGTGAGTCGTTGGAAGGGCTTTGGAGCCGGTTATGGAATCTCGGAGCGAGGTAAGTCTCCTTTCTAACCTTGTAAGAGGGAAATAACCCCATAGGTGAAATAATACGATATGTGCTTCTATTTGTGGGGGCTACGTACGCATGAGGTGACGAGAGTCCGTGCGTAGCTACTAATATGCTAGGTCCGGGTAGTCTAGGACCCAAGTCATGCTATTCTTGCGATATTTGCAACCTTATTGTTAATTTAAATTACTTAAATCATATTGAACTTGCTACATGAATTTTTAAAAGGTTAAACTTCGTTTTCCTTGAATGAGAATTGACATTTTCTTGGATAATTGCTCCTTAAAGAATTCTTGATTGATTGTTGAATGTGTTTATCTTTTGTGGAGCGGGCCGAACGCCTCGACAGATTAAATAGATGCATCTATGGTTTGCGCCGTTCGACCCTCGGCAGTGCACAGTTTAAATATTTATGTTGGAGCGGGCTGTACGACCTCGACATGATTTGCGCATGATTAAATTGATTGCTTTGGAATTTATAATAAATGACATGGCCTCCTTGGCCTGAGATAAATGGTTAAATAATGAGAAATAAATTTGGAGATTTCTTAATTATAAAAGAACTGTTTACTTACTTAAAAATATTGAGCTTGCAACCGTTTCATAAAATCCATGCTTAATTACATCATTGATATTTTATTTATAGCACATAATAAGTGTCGAAGTCGACCCCTCGTCACTACTTCTTCGAGGTTAGGCGGGATACTTACTGGGTACGCATTAATTTACGTACTCATACTACATTTGCTGCATATTTTTGTGCAGGTACATATATGTCTATGGGCCGTGTGGGCGCAGATGCGCGGTTATTGTGGGGACTTAGGTGAGCTGCATTCCACGTTACGAGTCGGCAGCTAGCAGAGTCTCCTTCAGAGTATTCATATTTCTCCTGTCCGAATTAGTATTCCGGACAGATGTTGTATTTTATTTTACATTCTTAGTTGAGGCTCATGCACTTGTGACACCGGGTTTTGGGGTGGTTATGGGTTGTCCTGTATTGAAATTGTTAAAAATATTATTATTTATTTTGTAAATTCCATCTTTTACTATTTAATTGAAGGAAATATGATTTCAGATATATTAAAATAAGAACCAAATTAAGTATTTATTTTTAGCTTGCCTGACAGCGGGGTCCGGCGCCATTACGACCTTTAATGGATTTTGGGTGGTGATATTTTCAATATAGTATGTATTTAGTGACTTATTAAAAATTAGCTTGTTTAGACTAATTAGCTATTTTTTTCTTTTTAGTTAGATATTCTTGTGAAAATGGCTAGTATACTGGTATGTATTGAATAGTAAATCAAGAAAAAAATTTAGAAATTTTTTGGTATTTTCTATAAGTATAGAATTTTTGTTTATATAAAAAATAACTTAAGTGCTAATACTTCTCTGTTAGAGTTAGATTAGTTAAGAAACAACTTAAGTGCTAATGCTTGTTTGTTTTGGCTTTTCGTTTGAAAATTCTTCATGCCCTATCTATGTGTTAATTATATTATTTATTATTGGAATAAAATGAAGAAAATGCAGTCAAGAAAAGGAACGTGGGGGAGATGTGACTTATGGTGCCGCGTGCTTCACAGTCATTTGTATGATCCCAACTCCAACACTATATTATTCTTTCCTCATGGTTTATTTTATTTATATAATGTGTATTATTTTTATTTCAGGACAAGTATCATATTGATCTTGATGCATGGCGACAAACTCAGTCGGCCCCGAAGGATATGACTACAATTTGGACACAGGCGGCTGGTGGCATGAATAAATGTATAAATATTATATAATTATCTATTTTGGTATTAGTTGAAGTTGCATGTTTGTTTTCTTACTTCTTTTACTTTCTTTTCTTTATTTATCGTGAAAATAAGTAAAGATCGAGTCTACGGAATTGGAGTACAACCATCCTCCAGTCGTCCACCAGCAACATTATTCATTCGGGCATCATTTTTCCTAAAAGATATGGAAGTTATGCGTCAAAAAATGGATCGATTGTCGCAAGAATTTCAAGTAACTCAGGCTTTGATCCAAAAATTGCTAAAAAAGAAAAGTAAGAAAGGCAGTCAAGCTGCAATAGAGTCTGAGTGTGAATCTGAGGAGGAGACTGAGTCTGACTAGGATTAGCTATTTGAATGTTTTAGAGTTGAAGTTAGAGAGATGTTTAATTTATGTTGTTTTATAGTTGGTTGAATTGTTATAAATATTACTGTTCGTTTTGTAGTAAATATTGAATTTGGATTGTTATACTAGGTGTTTGGTTGGTTGTTAGCAGTGTTTTAAAAGGCATTTTCGGGGCGAGTCTCGGTGCGAGGCGTACCAAAAACGCCCCGGGGCGATGGTGTGGGGCGAAAGTCTCAAGAGACGTACGCCCAGCAATTCGGGGCATATGCCCGGGCGTTCGGGGCGTACACCCGGGCATTCAGGGCGTACGCCCGGGCATTTGAGGCGCGTTGTTTTAGTGAGGAGTAAGCCCGAGAGACTTTTTCAAATTAAAATAAAATTTGTTGAATAAGTTCTTCATATAATACCCAAATTCTCAAAAGTCAGTTTGGTAATTACTCAAAAGGTTTAAAAAGGAACTCAAAAGTATTAAATTTAAAAGTCAAGATCTTTTTTATTGATTGAAGGCCTAATTCATGGTCTTTCCCAATTTTTTATCTTGTCCTCTAGTCTGCTAGTATCTCCCAAAAATAACAAATATTTAATTTTTTTTTTACAAATACAAAGAGAACTCCATTCTCTTTCATAGCAGCAAGTTCAAAGTTTAAATTGCAGGTTAATCATCCTTTTTGTTCCTCCATGTAGAAAACTTTATTCTTTTAAACTCAAGTTACTTGTGCTTGTAAGTAGCGTATAACAGATTGTTTTGACTAGTTTTTTGTGGGGATAGAGTATTTACTGTCATTATATTATTTTATAAAGTATTAAAAATTAAATACCTATGGGGCTTACGCCCCGTGCCTCAGGGCTTACATCTCGCTGAGGCATATGTAAAACGTCTTGCCTTACGCCCACGCCTTTTAAAACACTGGTTGTTAGGTGTTTGGTTGGCTGTTTTATTTGGCAGGTGGTGTAATTAAAAATACAACAGAATTCTACTAAATATTTTCCATATTTGCGACTAAATCAGTCGCAAATTTCATCAGAAATTACCCAGATTTGCGACTAATTTGGTCGCAAATTGAGAATTTCTGAATTTTTTTTATTAATTAATACTCAATATGTAAGACTATTTCAGTCGGAACTTTTAATTTGTATTTTTTTTATTTTGGTCAGCGACTGAATTAGTTGCAAATTTAGCGACCAATTCCGTCGGAAATGACTTAAATTCAAATGTACCTGTATTTTTCAGTTTGCGATTGAATCCGTCGAAAATTTTTGACTGATTCTATCGCAAATATTTTGCAACCATGTATTTTCCGACTGACATTTTTCAGTCGAAAATCCGTCGGAGAAACACGGCTTCTGATTGATTTGACGGTCGCAAATTTACTGTTTTTTAGTAGTGTATAAATCATATCATTAAGGATAAAAGAGAAAATTAAAGTAATATTATTTCTAAATAAGGAAGTATGATATTTTTTATCAAAAGAGATTAAAACAAAAAATAAAGCTATCACTTCTTTTTTTATTCAATTTTTAGTTTCCACAAAAACCCTTACTTTTTGTGTGGCGTCAAAGGATCCACCAACGTTGGCACGAAAAAATTCACTAGCCTCTATCGTTGGGTTTGAGCCTTTGAGGCATAGTGTAGTGAAAGAGATGAGGATCTATTTCTTTTTGGGGCATAAATTCAAAGTTAATATTACCTGAACTCTGGTGGGTAGTCAGGCCATTGGCTGTTCAACTGCTTCAGTTGTTTGTCATCAGGATCAGGAGAAAATGGTATAATAGTTGGATTCTGTAGAGCAAAATCAAAGACTTCTTTCCAGTCCCTTACATTCTTGGTGTGCTCAGTATCATAATATCCTAAAGGGTTGAACTCATCTCTCCCCACCTTTCTCTTATCCTCCTTAGACAAAGCAAAGAATTTTCTTGATGCCAACTCAATTTTTTCCTTGTGCTCTAAGGGTACCCCATGATTTATCACTTGGAAGAATCCCCATTTCTTTGATGCATCGCTTATCTCAGCCACTAGGGTTTCCAATTCCTTGGAGTATTTCTCAGAGGAGAAATCTGGATAATTCAGTACTGAGAGATCAATAACCGGAATACCTTCAGCTTCAGTTGTGGGGAGTTTAGGCCTGTGTTCGACATCTTGGATGAAAGCTGGATCAACTTCTCCCATTGCTGAATTATTATTTGTTAAATGCTAAGTTGGACGTCACACTTACTGAGGTTTTATACGCTTTAACGTTACTGGAAATATCGGAGAAATTAATCTTGTCGCAATAATTAATGACGATAAATAGGTAAAATACATTGAACCGGGACGCAATTTTGTCACATTTTAAGGTTGAATGTTGATTTTGTTTCGGAACGGTCATGTCCTCATATTCTTGCGTCATTCACGGCGAATGATTTACCTTACTAATGGCTTTATAAGAGAATTTTCCTTTTTATTTGCTTTTTACAGCTATTAACAATAAAAACCAAAGTTTTTATCGGAATCTATTTTTATATTATATTATAATATATGTCATCTATAAAAGCACTTCACTTTAATAGTCAAAATATATCGGAACAAACGAAATTGTTATATAGAAATTTGACTGATCTTATTTTGTGTTTTATGAATAATTTCCTACTTGTTCATTCATTCAATAATTATCTTTGTTTGTTTAAAAGGAATGATATTGTTACTATTGTTAGTAATCTGTATTTGCAAAGTAATTCTAGAAATAAAATAATATAAAAACAGAAATGTAGAATAAACAGAATTTAATTTGAGTCTATTGAATTCATAGTGTTTTCTTAAGCAACTTAATCCCCTCCTATATTACCCGAGGTTGTGGATTATTTTCTCCCAGGATAGAACGGATTACACATTGTGTGTACCGCTATACCAGTGTGTAATCGTGCGTGATAATACTCGGAGCTCGGTTACACTTAATATTATTTTATGGCTTGAGATGTTATAATTTATTTAATGGCCTGAAATTGTTGGAGTTAGCATGTGTCAAATGGAGACTTTAAAATTGACTATTAGTTAAAGAACCATTTATTCATTGCTGGCTATTGTGTTATTATTATTATTCTCGTATTCCATTCCTATTTAAAATTTCTGTATTTTATTATTGGCCCGTAGTAAGTATCGATATCGACCCCTCGTCACTACTTCTTCGAGGTTAGACTGGATACTTACTGGGTACATGTTGTTTATGTATTCACGCTACACTTCTGCACTAATCGTGCATGATCTGAGGCAGGTGCATCTGGTGTCCATTCAGGCGCGCACCCCCGTTATCCTGAGGCATAGTGGCGAGCTGCTCTCCGAGTTCCTTCTGCAGCACCCGCAATCTCTCTTTTGTATTTACTTTCTGTCTATCCTATTTCAGACAATAACATAGGTGTTTTGTATATTCTACTAGTTGCTCATACACTTATAATACCGGGTCTTGGAAACATGCTAGTAGACACTTTATGACTTTTGAGAATTTATTCCATCGTATTTGCTCTTTTATTAGTTACGCTTTACTTTATTTAATTTTTCACTTCTCATTTACTTAATAAATAAAAATCAACTACTTTGAAATTTTTAAAAAGAATAAATACATGGTTAGTTCACCGTTGGCTTGCCTAGCGATGACGTTGGGCGCCATCAAGGCCAGTAGGAGAAATTAGGTTGTGACAATAAAAGTCCGTGATTTATATAGTAGAACTTACTATGTTGTTTGTAAATATGTACTCCTTCCGTTTAAGCTTACGTGAATGTTTTCGCTTTTCGATATTCAAACTATGAAAACTTTGATCAATATTTTAAATATTTTTTTTTGTCATATTGACATGAGAAAAAATGCAACTTATAGTATTTTTCGTATAGTTTTTAAATATCAAAATTTGAACTTTAAAATATTGAGTTAATCTAATTCAATTTAGCTTCAAAGATCGGTCAAATTAACTTTAAAAAAGCAAAAAAATTCACATAAATTAGAACATAACCTGCTTCCATCTGTCCTGAATGAGGGAATTAAGGCGGTATAGTCGAACTGAACTGCTTGATTCTAAGGTGGGTGATAAGCAACTGTATTCGTATCAAGCCTACCATCTCTTCTCACGAAAGACTTTCCATCCCGTCTCTGAAAGTTTTGCAATATAAGTGTCCTCCGAGTCGCACGACGTTTTAACCGAAAGAACTTCTTGCGCAATTCATACCTTTATGTTTTTATGACAAAAATTCTTTCTTTATTTTCATATAAAATTGTTCTCTGGATTTTTTATCAATATGAGATGACCGTAACACAATATATAAGACTCGTGATTCAGGCAATCCAATCTTTCGTGTGTAAGCCGAAAGCCCCCAAAAATAGTTTTCAAAAAATGGGTGAGTAATATAAAAAATTAAACTAGAAAATCAATTTCCTAAATCCTACTTTAGATGAAGAACGGATGTGGCAAACATCGTATTCCGAATATTATCATTTTTGGGGGATGAAAGGAGCACCAAGCACAGTTTTCTTCATTTAATGTTTGTATAATTACTCATGTCCAATTTATGGAATAAAACTTGACTTACATTATATAATCATCATTTACCTAAAAATTTATGCCAAATTACTAATTCTAATTTATTCAAAATTATTAATTCTTCATTATTTTAATAGCACAGAACCATAACGCTAATTACTAAATTACCTAGTGTAACGAGCCGGTCGGTCGTTTCGAGAATTATAGCCCCGTTTCTCCCATTTCTGTTTCTTTTGTGCTTTACAGCTGTATTAAGTCTTACCGGGTTGGTTGGTTCACGTCCTGAGTGGTTTTGGAGCGAATTGAGACACTTAATATCTTAATTAGAAACTTAAGTTGAAAAAGTCGATCGGATGTCGACTTGTGGGAAAACGACCTCAGACTTGAATTTTTATGGTTCTGTCAGCTCCGTTAGGTGATTTTGAACTTAGGAGCGCGTCCGGATTGTGATTTGGTGGTCCGTAGTAGAATTAGGCTTGAATTGGCGAAAGTTGGAATTTTGGCGATTTTGTCTGGCAGTGAAAATTTTGATACTGGGGTCGGATTGGATTTTCGGAAGTTGGAATAGGTTCGTGGTGTCATTTTTGACTTGTGTGTAAAATTTGAGGTCAATCGGACGTGGTTTGGTAGGTTTCGGCATCGTTGTGGAATTCGAAATTTTAGAAGTTCTTTAAGCTTGAATCCGGGTGTAATTTGGCGTTTTGATGTTGTTTTGAGGGATTCGAAGATTCGACTAAGTTCGTATCGGGTTATAGGACTTATTGGTATAATTAGTTGAGGTCCTGGAGGCCTCGGGATGATTTCGGGTGGTTAACGGCTTGATGGGAGTTGAGAAATTGCAGCTGAAGCTGCTGCTATTGGTGTAACGGCACCTGCGGAGTGGGAACCGCAGGTGTGAGCCCGCAGAAGCGAAGGAGGAGCCGCAGATGCGGCTAAGGAGGATCTAGGCAGAGGGCACATGTGCAATGGCATTCCCGCACCTGCGATGGTCGCAGAGCCGGATTTAGGGGCGCAGGTGCGATGTAGTTCCCGCACCCGCGAAGAGCGCAGATGCGGTCACTTNAGCATTCTTCATAATTATTTTTTCATAATTTTTTAAAGGCTTTAAATCAATTTATTTCTGTATTTTATTATATAAATATCTAATAGTTACCCTCCATATTATTTTTATGATGATTTAATCATCTAAACTTATCATTTATACCAATATGAGGTTTTAAATATTTTCAGGGCATTTCTTATAATTACATTTGAATTTTTCAGGGCTAAATTGCATATTTTGTAGTAATAGCCCATATGCATGTATAATTACATTATTTATGCAGAAAATAACTTTTTATATTTTTATAATGTTAAATAATTATTTTTAATCATTTTCATGCACAAATTATATTTTTGTTATTTATTTATTATTTTTTGTAAATTATTTATTTATTAAACATTGGGTATTTAAAATCTAGCCCTAAATTCCTTCTAATTTCGGACCTAACTACCCAAACATAGCCCAATTACCCCTGGCCCAAGAGCAATTAACCCAACCCCATACCCGGTCGCGACCCGTTTAACTAACCCGACCCAGAACCCCCAACTAATCGTGGCCGTTGATCTTTGTTGATCTCTGAGATCAACAACCCATATTACTCCTACCCTTTTAATTAACCTAATATGCCCCTAACCCTAACCACTCTTCATCACCCGCCGCCTTTGAATGCTCTCAAACCTCCCCCTTTTCTCTACCCAAACCCTAGCGTCTCCCCCCAAATTTCTCTTCTAATCCCACCGGACATGGGATTACATAGTTGTTTCTTGCCATATTCTACTTCCCCCTGATATTGGAACCTTCTATATACCGCTTGCCTAAACATGGCAAGCGGATCTCATCAATTTCGAACCAAAGTTGGTTCAGTTCCTTGACCTTTTCTGTCTATGTTCATCTTATTCTATGCAGCATGTGATTTTTACCTTTTAATTATTTTAGATTTCTGCCGATTTTACAGTTTCCCTAAAATTAGGGTTTGGGATTTTTTCTCTTTTCCTTACTGATTTGATTGCATGTGATGATTCTTTCCTTTCTCGTATTTGATTGATGATTTTTTTTATTTGGATGTTAATTTCTACTACTATATAAACCCCTCCCCACTCCCCTTTGAAACAAGTCAGAATCATTAAGAAACATTACTAAAAATTAAAGTTGTGTGCTCTTTGCTCTTTAACAATCTTGTTCTGCACTTTGATTCCTGGCCGGCTGAAAGCCAAGGCCAGAAATTCTGGGTTCTTGCTCTTTCGTTGATATTCATAACACTGTGGGCTTCCTTTCTTTCTTGTTTCATTTAACTGGTGAGTTACCAAACCTTTTTCATTTCATTCTGATTTGCCTGTCATTAACATGAGTTTTCACTTCTAAAGATTTTTGTTCCCTGTGTTACTTCAATTTTAGGCTTTGCTAAACTGAATGCCATTACGTTTGTACTTTGAGACATGTTTAGACCTGGGTTGATTAATTTCTTTTAATTCTGCCTAGCATATGTGTTGTTGATAGCCATCCCTCTACTGTTTAAAATTGCTACTGGAACATGATCCCATATCCCCTTTCTATGGATTAGTTGACTAAGTATGAGTATATAAGTGCACAAGTCTGTTTCTAAATTTGCTATGATGACATGTGGCCTGTTTCGACCATGTTTTCACCATGTCTTGACTTCCCCAGTAATTGCCCTAATCCTGTTAAGTTCTGATTG